TAAGGTAATAATATTCTCATCTGTAAATTCTTGCCTTTCGTGCTCCCTCAAGCCCTTTCCATTTGATTTCTTCCAGGTCTGAGTTTTCTTATCTGACCCAGAATATGTTAATGTCCTTTCCTTTGGGCTTGTGATTGACTTTTTGTTTATAACATCTATTTAGCAATTCATAATATTTGATATCTACTTGCGATTAAATTTTTAAAGTGTATCTACCTAAATAAGTAAGTACTCATATATATAGTACTTAATAGTGTTTTTGATTGGCTCCTGAGAAATTTGTAGGCTGGTTTACGTTTTGGCACTCTCTGTGATGCCTATTTATACACATATATTTCCTCAAGAAGTAAACATAGTATGTACATCAGACATTAAACGGGAAAGGACATTTTATATCATGCCTTCTTTCCTGCTGCCCAATTATACACTAAAAAAATTCAGACTTAATTTACCTATTTTCCTTTCATATCCAAAATGTATTCCAGTGATCTCTTAGTAAAAACAAATAAGAAAAGTTTAATCTCTTTTTGGAAGTCTGGAGTCATGCAGACCTGCTATAGAACTCCTGTCATTTGCAAGCTTTGCAATTGTTACTTAATCTCTCTGATTTCTGTTTCCTTCTGTTAAGTGGAAACAAAAATTGATTTCTTTGTTATATTTTAATGAGATAATTGTGAAAAGCATCTAAATAAGTGTGATCATCATGAATTATTAATTACCATAAAATAATAATAAAACTAAGCCAAAAATTGTAGTTACCCAAGTTAAAATTAGGCCCCTCTGGTCTCTCCAGGAACAGCTATGTGACTTTGATATAGTCTGGGTGATTTATATCAAAGGATCTATTTGACCTATTTTTCAACTTGATTAGGAATTTTCTCTCATTTACAAAAACAGTGCTTTTCACTACGTGTGGAAATTCAATATGTTTCTTAATTTCAACTGATCACTTAGCCTCCAAATGTGTATGGGTAATCCTGATTTCAGTACCCCTCCCTCCTGCTCTACCCCTTTCAAAGATTACCTCTCAATAGGATAGTCAGCAAAAATCCTTGTTTGTATAATGTCCAGTTCTAAGTCAATTCTGTGCTTTACCTTTCCCTGCTTTACTTTGATCTGACCTAGGCAAAAAAAGATGGATTAGCGCTGGATACTTCTCAGAATTCCTTTCCTCTCATGTTGCTGTTACCACATTTGGATCTTAAAGAAATGAATGTGCGAAAGCCTCAGTTCTATTTTATCATTGCTAATTCTAATTGACCATTTTCCAAGTCTATATGGCTATTACAGGTTTTACTGAGGGAGTTGATCTGGTAGAGATTACTATGTAGGAGACATGAAAATAAATATTTAACCAAATGTTGAAATATCATGGTACTCATGAGCCATGGAAAGAGAATAAAAGGGTTAAATTTATTTCAGATTTCGTGGATGTACCTCAGATTCTTCTGCTTTCAGGGGTATCTCTTCTGCTTTGTTTTTCAAAACTCTGCATGGAGATCTCCATGCCCCTGTAGCAAATTCCACCCCCTCACATGACTATCTTGCCATGGGATACATTCCTTGCTCCTGTTGTGGGACATGGACATCTGCCAACAGACTGTGAGGCTGGGCTTTAGCCCTCTAAATCTGGTCCCTTGGAGGATTCTATCTTTTGAGGTATCCATATCCTTTTCCATCTTTTTTTGGTGTCCAATGGATTACTTACACATACACAAATGGCAAAACTAAAATCCAGGTTTCAAATACAAACATTTTCTTTACTGTGGTTGGAATCCTGCAGAACTACCCTTCAACAAATGAGGGGAAATGCTTCTTTTTGTCATTATGCTGAACACATTTAAAGTTTCTTTGTCTTTCCGACTGTATTTAGACTTCTCCTCAGTCTTTAAAATGCATAAAAATCAAGAGTCATTGCAGCATTGAACACTGTAGAACTCCTGGAAGGACAGCATCTCTTAGTGATAAAACCTCCACAGTAACTTTGAATATTTATGGATTTTTTTTCTTTAGTTATATGTCAGGTCACATCTTGGGTTACTGTTAATGAAGGAAGACTATACAAAGAATTATTAAATTTCACCCAAGCAATCTGCAAGAACTGGGAAGGATATTTTAAAGGGAAATAATCAACTTAAAATTTTACCAAATATAGCTTGTAAAGATATTAAGGAAAAAGATTAGTACTCATATGAATATGTCCCAATAAGCAAGAAAAGAGTCATTGTGATACAATGCCAGTTATTGCAGGAAATTAAAGAATTCTGTTCTAGACACATAAAAAAATACATTAATTTCACAGTTAATATATAAAAACCATCATCAACATTTTGGTGACCATTTGGGGCTACCAACCTATCTATAATTTTTCTATTTAGTTATCTGAACAAACTTTTGATCAAGTCATACATGTTGTTTTATGATATATTTAATCCACATATATAATTGTGATTTTTATATATTATTACACATTTTTGAGGACTTGATCTTTAATGACTAGTATTCCATAATAAGTATATGCTATGTTTCAATCCATCTAATCAATCATCTATTTTTATACAATTAGAAAATTTTCAGAGACAGTTTTACCCTATAAAAGTACATTTTCAGTTTACTTCTAAGAAGTAAACAGACTGGTCATCCTTTGGGTCATTTCTTGTGAAATAAAAGTATTGTGATCTGAGAGTTAAAAAATTTTTTTTTGTTAGTAACAAGGCTCCCATGTAATTAAAAAATCTGAGTTCATAGCTAAATTCATAGATCTATAACAAACATTTGAAAGCAAACTATAGTTCTTAGGAAAATATATTATTAAGAGAACTACTTTAACTCATGGCAAGTTGTTTCTACTATTAATTTACTCCTTTGATATACTGAAGAAAATATAATCATGAACGATCTTAAGAAAATGGACATGTATGTATATAGAGAGTGAGGCACCTTTAAATATAAATAGATTGAGAAAAATGTTGCTTTGATTTCAGGAATAGTAGAACTTCATATTTAATGTCTCTGTGTGATCCATTTTCTCTTAAGTACCATATTGGCATTTCCAGCAGATGGCATTATTACACTAAGAAACCAAACACCACAGCTCAGGCATTCTTTAAGTAAATGTAGATTTTAGAAAGGAAGGGAAGAGGGAAAGGAAATATGTATTGAAATCTATTCGTTGCTTGTTCTTTTATATGTGTGGTTATATTTAATGCTCACAGTGGCTCTTATAGGTAGGTGTTAAGAATAAGTAAACTGAGGCTGAAAGAATTTAAGATACTTAATATTCACAAAGCAAGTCAGTGACAGACCCAGGATTTTAATCTAGATCTGGCTGATTCAAAGAGCCTGTGTAGCTGCTGTGTTTAAATTAATGGCACTACAGTGAAAATATTTGTTTATAGAGACCATTTCTAATGAATGAACTATGACAGTTTGACTGTACTTCCAAATGGGTAAACAGAATTATCATAATTAGATCCAGAAATTTCATTGATGCATACACAAATATTAATTACTGAATTACTATACATGCTTGCTTCAATTCTACTCTTATATATTTATAAAACCAAGAAAAAGAAAAACATGTCAATATGAAACCCTGTACACTGATGTTCATAGCAGCATTATTCATAATACTTCAAAGTATAAACTCAAATATCTATCAACTGATGAGTAGAAAACTAAAATGTAACATATCAACACAGTGGAATATTATTCATCAATATGAAGAAATAAAATACTGACATATTCTGTAGCTTGGATAAAACTTGAAAACATGATGTGAAAGAAGCCAGTAAGAAAACATATATAATTCCATTGATATTGTAATGCTAAGAAAAGTCAACTCTGTACATCCAGAAAGATTAGTGAACGCCTAGGCTTACCAAGTAGGACAAGGGAATGAGAGTAACTATTAATGGGTACAGAATTTCTTTTTAGGGTAATGAAGATATTTTAAAATTAGATTTCATTTATGATTTATAATTCCATAAATATACTAAAACCCATGGAAGTGTACACTTTAAAAGGGTGAATTTTATGGTATATGAATTATATCTCAATAAAACTGCATATAAAAATGTATAAAACAAATGCAAACTGAGATAAAATGACCTTACCCTTTGGGGTACATATGAAAAATATATATCTACCTATGTTAGTTACCTTCTTTGGGCCAACAACTTTGGCAACACCATCTCATTTAAGACATTTAAGACATTATCCTTGTCATTTTGTAGATAAGGAAACGTTATGTGAAAGATTACCTCACATAGAGTTTCACATCTAGCAAGTGCTAGATCCCAGGTCTCTGTTTTGTGAAGCTTATATACCTTCCATCCTTCACTTTGTGGTTCAGCGAAAATATGCTTTATTATAATCAAGTGCTAACTTCTTATACTTCGTGTCTGTTTTTGCACTAGACAGGGTAATATGGAGTTACTAACTATCCCAATTGTAGCTTTGATTATTGGCAAAAACAAGTTGAGAAAAATGTCAATTTTCTCTTCTCACAGCACTTCTTTAATTGGTGATTTCAAAGCTGGCCAATCTGTGACATTCTTATTTGGTATACTAAATGGAGTTTGGTACTGTATGGACAAATGCTTCTTATCTGTAGGCTAAAATTTGAATCCAGAATAAGGAAGATGATTATTTGGTGGTGGTGGGGGGTGGATTTTCATTGGTATAAGGATAGGAGATTTTTCTTAAATTTGAGTCAATAATGTAGGTCTTCACTGCCACAATCTTAGTTTTCAAGTATATATGTTTGTTTTGGAGTTGGTGTTGTTATGTTAAAGTTGACTTGTCTTTGAGAAAATTATATGTTTATCTGTGTGGAGTTTGTTGATCTTTTACAATAATAAAAGGATAGACTATGGAATTAAGAGGCATTATCTTAATACATTGATGATGTTTTTTTTTTTTTTTTTTTTTTTTTTTTTTTTTTTGTATAGAACATTTTAGGAACAAAGTACTTATTCTTCCTGGATCTCATTTTCCAGAATGAAGCACTGCATTAGCGAGTCCTGAAGATCCTTTCCAGCTCTTTGATTATTTGACATTCTGACTGGCACAAAGAGGCACACCTGCAATCCTACTGAGCGTTCCATGGATCATTAATGATTTTTCATAGTGAAGGAAACAGAGGTAATGTAGACTCTGAAAGCTGATACTTCTCACTGTAGATGTACACTCTTGTGTTACAGTGTTTTTGTATGTGAGAATTTCCACCTACCAACCCTTGAAGGTCTCTGAGCACAAGGGATTGACTGAGTGCACTTTAAGTTAAAATACCTCGTGCAAACCCAGCATGGTGTACCTGCAGTGAGGAGACTGTTATGGATGCTCATGTCATATCTTTTACAGCTTATGCTCTGCATATGCTGTTTAAGCCTTGTCTCTCTTTTTCCTTAAGTTTTGAAATGCTTTTTATTGTGTAGAAAAGTTAAATTTCTTTAAAATGTTAATTAAAAGTAAAAATGTTTTGAGAGTAAAATGTGGCTTATATGTATTTTTTTCTATTTAAAATACATAATGCATCTATTTTTTTTTTTAATTCTGTGAGCTTGGAGAGTCTAATGTAAGAAGACTCATTGCCAGCATATTCCAGTCTACTTCAGTGCTCTGACTTCAGCCACCTCTCAATAACTAGTTTAGATAACTTTTTGAGCATTTGTACTATGCTGTTTAATATAAGAACAAGCAGTAGTGAATACATCATTTTCCTTCAACATTTATTTTACGTTCTGGGGTACATGTACAGGATGTGCAGATTTGTTATATAGGTAAACGTGTGCTATGGTGATTTACTGCACAGATCATCCCATCACCCAGGTATTAAGCCCAGCATCCATTTTATTCTTCCCGATAGTCTCCCTCCCACCCCACAGGTGTCCAGTGTATGTTTTTTCCCCCTACGTGTTCATGTGTTCTCATCAGTCAGCTCCCACTTATAAGTGAGAACATGTGGTGTTGGTTGTCTGTTCCTGCATTTATTTGCTGAGGATAGCAGCTTCCAGCTCCATCCATGTCCATGCAAAGGACATAATCTCATTCCTTTTGATGACTGCATAGTATTTCATGGTGTATATGTACCACATTTTCTTTATCTGGTCTATCATTGACGGGCATTTGGGTTGATTCCATGACTTTGCTATTGTAAATAGTACTGCAGTAAACATACATGTGCATGCATCTTTTTAACAGAATGATTTATATTCCTTTGGATATATACTCAGCAATAGGATTGCTGGGTCAAATGGTATTTCTGTCTCCAGGTCTTTGAGGAATTATCACACTGTCTTCCACAATAGTTGAACTAATTTACATTTTTCACCAACAGTGTAAAAGCATTCCTTTTTCTCTGCATTCTCACCAGCATCTGTTTCTTGACTTTCTAATAATTGCCATTCTGACTGGCATGAGATGGTATCTCATTGTAGTTTCGATTTGCATTTGTCTAATGATCAGTGATGCTGAGCTTTATAAAATATGTTTGTGGGCTGCATGTATGTTGTATTTTGAGAAGTGTCTGTTCATGTCCTTTGCCTACTATTTTAATGGGGTTGTTTGTTTTTTTCTTGTAAGTTTGTTTAAGTTTCTCATAGATTCTGGATATTAGACCTTTTGTCAGATGGATAGATTGAAAAAATTTTCTCCCATTCTGTAGGTTGACTGTTCACTCTGGTGATTATTTCCTTGCTGTGCAGAAGGTCTTTAGTTTAATTAGATCCCATTTGTCAATTTTCACTTTTGTTGCAATTGCTTTTGGCATTTTCATCATGAAATCTTTGCCCATACCTGTGTCCTGAATGATATTGCCTAGATTTTCTTCTAGAGTTTTTATAGTTTTGGGCTTTACATTTAAGTCTTTAATCGATCTTGAGTTAATTTTTATAAATGGTGTTTAAGGAAGGGTTCCAGTTTTAATTCTTGCTAATTCTTCCAGAACCATTTATTAATGGAATCCTGTCCCCATTGCTTGTATTTGTCAGATTTGTCAAAGATCAGGTAGCTATAGATATGTGGTCTTATTTCTGGGTTCTCTATTCTGTTCCGTTAGTCTATGTGTCTGTTCTTATACTAGTACCATGCTGTTTTGGCTACTGTAGCCTTGTTGTATAGTTTGAAGTTGGGTAGCATGATGCCTCCAGCTTTGTTCTTTTTGCTTAGGATTACCTTGGTTATTCAGCCTTTTTTCTTTTGGTTCCATGTGTATTTTAAAGTATTTTTTTCTAATTCTGTGAAGAACGTCAGTGGTAGTTTAATGGAATAGCATTGAATCTATAAATTACTTTGGGCAGTATGGCCATGTTCACAACATTGATTCTGCCTATTCATGAGCATGGAATGTTTCTTCATTTGTTTGTATCCTCTTTGATTTCTCTGAGCAGTGGTTTGTAGTTCTCCTTGAAGAGGTCATTCACCTCTCTTGTTAGTTGTATTCCTAGATATTTTATTCTTCTTTTAGCAATTGTGAATGGGAGTTCATTTATGATTTGTCTCTCTGATGGCCTGTTGTTGGTGTATAGGAATGCTAGTGATTTCTACACAATGATTTTATATTCTGAGACTTTGCTGATGTTGCTTATCAGCTTAAAAAACTTTTAGTCTGAGACGATGGGGTTTTTTAGATATAGGTTCATGTCATCTGCAAAGATAATTTGACTTCCATTCTTCTTATTTGAATACCCTTTATTTCTTTCTCTTGCCCAATTACCCTGGCCAGGACTTCTAATATTATGTTGAATAAGAGCAGTGAGACAGAGCATCCTTGTTTTGTGCCAGTTTCCAGGGGAATACTTCCAGCTTTGCCCTTTCAATATGATATTGGCTGTGGGTTTGTCATATATGGCTCTTATTATTTTGAGGTATGTTCCTTCAATACCTAGTTTATTGAGAGTTTTTAATATGAAGGGATGTTGAATTTTAACAAAGACCTTTTTTTGCATCTATTGAGATGATCAAGTATTTTTTGTCTTTAGTTCTGTTTATGTGGTGGATCATATTTATTGATTTGTGTATGTTGAAACAGTCTTGCATCTTGGGGATGAAGCCAACTTGATCATGGCGTAAGCTATTTGATGTGCTGCTAGATTCAGTTTGCCAGTATTTTATTGAGCATTTTTGCATTGATATTCATCAAGGATATTGGCCTGAAGTCTTCTTTTTTTGTTGTTGTATCTCTGCAAAGTTTTGGTATCAGGATGATTCTGGCCTTATAGAATAAGTTAGGGAGGAGTCTTCCCTCTTCAATTTTTTGGAATAGTTTCAGTAGAAGTGGTATAAAGTCTTCTTTGTACCCCCGTAGAATTTGGCTGTGAATCCATCTGGTCCTGGGCTTTTTTATTGGCAGTAGGCTCTTTATTACTGCCTCAATTTCAGAACACATTATTGGTCTATTCAGGGCTTCAGTTTCTTCCTGGTTCAGTCTTGGGAGGGTGTATTTGTCCAGGATTTTTTTTTTTCTAGTTTATGTTAATAGAGGTGTTTATTGTATTCTCTGATGGTTGTTTGTATTTCTGTGGGGTCAGTAGTAATATCCCTCTTATCATTTCTGATTGTGTTTGATTCTTCTCTCTTTTCTTCTTTGTTAGTCTAGCTAGTGGTCTATCTATTTGATTCATGTTTTCAAAAAACCAGCTCCTGGATTCATTGATTTTTTGAAGGGTTTTCCATGTCTCTGTTGCCTTCAGCTCGGCTCTGAATTTGGTTATTTTTGGTCTTCTGCTAGCTTTGAGGTTTGTTTGCTCTTGGTTCTCTAGTTCTTTTTGTTGAGGTGTTAGGTTGTTAAGTTGAGATCTTTCTAGCTTTTTCATGTGGGCATTTAGTGATATAAATTTCCGTCTTTACAGTGCTTTAGCTGCATCCCAGAGATTCTGGTATGTTGTTCTCTTTTTACTCATTAGTTTCAAAGAACTTCTTTCTTAATTTCATTATTTATCCAGGAGTCATTCAGGAGCAGGTTGTTCAATTTCCGTGTAGTTTTGTGGTTTTGAGTTTAAACTTGAGTTCTAATTTGATTGTGCTGTGGTCTGAGAGACTGCTATAATTTCAGTTATTTTGCATATTATGAGGAGTGTTTTACTTCCCATTATGTGATCAATTTTAGAGTAAGTGTCATGTGGTAATAAGAAGAATGTGTATTTTGTTGTTTTTGGGTGTAGAGTTCTATAGATATCTCTCAGGTCCACTTGATCCAGAGCCGAGTTCACGTCCTGAATATGTTTGTTAATTTTCTGTCTCGATTACCTGTCTAATATTGTCCATAGGGTGTTAACATCTCCCACTATTACTGTGTGGGAGTCTAAATCTCTTTGTAAGTCTCTAAGAACTTGCTTTATGAATCTGGGTGCTCCTGTATTGTGTGCATATGTGTTTAGGACAGTTAGCTCTTCTTGATGAACTGAACCCTTTACCATTGAGCTTTGTCACTTACTACAAGATTCATGGCAAATCCAGGACACTTTAAATTCTTTTTTTAGTTTATGGGCCGTGTTTTTTTTTAAAGATAATTTTTCCAAGTTCATTAGTGGCTCTAAATTAATGTTTCCTCTCATTAATTAAAAGAACCATAAACCAATAGCAATGAACAAAAGAGACAACATTTTGAACCTTAGAACTCCTTAGAATACAAAAACCATTTTTCTCCCTATAATCACATCTTACAAGTTTTTATTATTTTTCTAGTATAAAAATAATATATACTTTATGGTTAAATATGTTGGAAAATACAAAATGTACATAGAGAAGAAGATAAATAGTTCTTGTTAATACTTTTGCATTTTCCATTGTAACTATCATACTTTTGTATTATGTACATCTAGCAGATATTTGTGAAGAATTTTAGTTGAAAAACTAATGTGAGATAATTCTGGGGGAGTTGCATCAAAATGGTTTTATATTCTCAGAGAAAAATACTTAGAATTGATAGAATATGTGATCATTAGAATTGATAGAATGTGTGATCATGCCTGGTTCATCTGTGCTCTGGGTGTTGTTTAGTTCAGGCTTCTGGGTTGCTTCCTTGGGAAAATTAGATGCAACTGATGGGTTATGTCTTGCAAGATAGGCAAATACCTTGTTCTTTTTCTATGGGAAACAGACAATATTACTTAAAAATGAACAAAGAATAAATATAGGAAAGA